AGCCAAATAAATCCATTGCAAAGGTTTGGATCTGTAGGATAAACATGGTCCATAAACATGGCCCTGTACCCTAATCAAGGATAAAGAACAGTACATGGAGATTAGAACTGGTTTCCTTGAGCTGAGAAATAATAGCTTTTCTTTTGAGTGAGAGTAAAAGCAGAGAGATGTCATACCTTAGGACTTAAGTATTAAAGTCCATGTAATAATTTGTGTAATTTACCAAATATTATATCATTTTCATACTATAGCAATACTACAGATCAGTCAAACTATTTAATAGGAATTTCACCTGCCAGACACGTGGTAGCTCACACTCAAATCATAGCTAGTCAGGAAGCTGAGACTGAGGATATTGGTTAGAAGCCATACCAGGCAGAAAAGTCCCTGTGAAAATTATGTCCAATTAATCACTCCGAAAAACCAGAATTGGCACTGTGGCTCAAAGTGGTAGAGCACTACCACCTCAGTGAAAGAGCTCAGGGGTAGAGCCCAGGACCTGAGTTGAAACCCCATAAATTTTTTAAAAATAATAAAAAAAATATTTCTTGCAATCCCATTTGTCCAACCTTTCTTTGATTTGTTGTGTTTCTGGGTCTCTATTAAGAAAATTTGGGCCTGCCTTATTTGTAATATCTAGTATATGTATGAGTCAAGCAGAAAAGGTCAGATAATGTGATGTCAGGAAAATGAACCCTTAGATATGTATTTTAATGTTTTTTTTTTTCATGCATGTGTTTCTAACGCATTTATAAGATTATCTCTTTGTTGCTTTGTATGTCCCTCCCCCACAGTATAACCCCTGCTTTCACTATATTTGATTTCAGTATAACTTGTGGAGGAGATGGGGAAAAACCAGTTGTTTAAGGATACAGGTGGACCTGTTGCAACAATGAGAAGTACAAGTTGTCATGTCCAAAACGTGCTGGGGGTGGGGAGGAAGGGGGAGAAGGAGAAGGATTGGGATTGGGGGGGGAGGGAAGAGGCTGGGAAGGGATGTGAAGGGTAAACAAAGGAGGAGGCTGCAATGCTTGGTAAGAAATGTACGCATTATCCTGCCCATGTAATTGTAACTCCTCTGTACAGTATGTTCACAAATAAAATTAAATTAAATTAAAAAAAAAGAAAATTTGGGCCTGTACCAAGGAGACCTAGGGTTTCTCCTATTCCATCCTGTAATGTTTTCAAAGTGTCTGTTTTAACTCCAAGGTCTTTGATGCATTTGGAGGTGATTCTGGTGAAGGGTGATATAGAAGGATCTAACTTTATTTTTCTATAATTAGTTAACCAATTTTGCCAGCACCATTTACTGAAGAGGCTGTGTTTCTTCCATTCGATTTTTTTAGCTCACTTATCAAATATTAGATGGCTATAGATTTGGGGGTTAATTTCTGGGTTTTCAATTCTATTCCGTTGGTCCTGAGGTCTGTTCTTGTGCCAATACCAAGCTGTTTTGATTAGTATGGCTTTGTAGTAGAGTTTGAAATTTGGTATTGATATTCCTCCAGCACTGTTCTTTCCGTTGAGGATCATTTTTGCTATTCAAAGAAAGGTTGGACAAATGGTATTTCATGAAATTGCAGAGCTTCTGCATGGCAAAAGACATAGCTAGCAAGATAATTAGAAAGCCCATGGAGTGGGAGAAGATCTTCACTAGACATACAACGGACAAGGGTCTCATATCTAAAACATACCTGGAACTCAAAAAATTAATTCCCCCAACAACAAATCCTGAAAGAAACAACTGCCCAATAAATAAATGGACTAAAGACTTAAAGAGAAACTTCTCTAAAGAGGAAAGAAGGATGGCCAATAGACACATGAAGAAATGCTAAACCTTTCCAGCCATAAAAGAAATGCAAATCAAAACAACATTGATATACTACCTCACCCCAGTTAGAATGGCTAAAATCAAGAACTCTAATAACAACAGATGCTGGAGGGGATGTGAACAAAAGGGAACCTTACTGCATTGTTGGTGGGAGTCTAAACTTCTTCAACCACTCTGGAAAGCAGTATGGAGGTTCCTCAAAAGACTCCACATAGAGCTCCCTTATGACCTAGCAATCCCACTTTGGGGCATTTACCCAAATGTTTACAAACAAGACCACACTAAAGCTACCATCATGACTATGTTTATTGCAGCATTATTTACCATAGCTAAGATATGGAACCAACCCAGATGCCCCTCAGTAGATGAATGGATCAAGAAAATGTGGTATGTATACACAATGGAATTCTATGCGACCATCAGAAAGAATGACATTGCCCCATTTGTTAGGAAATGGAAAGACTTGAAAAAAATTTTTCTAAGTGAACTAAGCCAGACGCAAAGAAACATAGGCCCCATGGTTTCCCTTACTTGTAATAACAAGTGTGAGTCAAGCAGAAAAGGTCAGATATGTTGATGTTAGGTGAAATGAACACCAAGATAAGTATTCAAATGTATTTTACTTTCATGGGATTGTTTCTAACATATTTATAAGATGATTCCTTTGTTGCTTTGTATGGCCCTCCCCCACAATATAACTCCTGCTTTCACTGTATTTGATGTTGGAGGGGAAGGGAAAAAAACAAATTGTTTAAATAAGGATACTGGTGGACCCATTGCAACAATGAGATATACAGGTCGTTATGTAGAAAAACTTTACAACTTTGGTGGGAAAGGGGGGAGGGGGGAAGGGAGGAAGAAGGGTGGATATGGGTTTGGGGGGCTGGATATGGGAAGGGATAGGAAGGGAAAATAACAGACTAAGCAACAATGCTTGATAAGAAATGTGCTCATTATCTTGCCCATGTAATTGTAACTATTCTGTATGGTATTATCATAATAAAAAATAAAAAATTAAAATAAAAAATACAATTCTACCCAAATAGTGTGACAGAATGATTAAGAAAGAATTGTATTAATTTGTGATTATTTTAAAATTATCCTAACCTGTACACTTTTACACTTCCTTTTCATTTAAAAGCTGGGATTGTCAGAGTTTCCATTACTTTTCTTGCCATATTATCCCCCAATCCCTGTTTTTTGCGGTGTGATCACAACTATGATTTTCACAGTTAAATTAGATTCCACAAGCTGGAATAGCAAGCATTGAACCCAATGTTTTCATGTTTCTGTTTCTACAGCAATGATTGAGATTTTTCTTGGCACATCATTAAAACAGCTGCTAAGCCATAAACTTCTTGATTAGAGATGAATGGAAATATTAATTTCAGAATTCCATTATCCAGAGATAAGAGATTGGAAATTTCTATTGGTTCTGGTCCCCAAATTTGTGACACTTGGTTAAGGAACCCCTTAAAATGAATACTCCATTCTCCAATATGGAAATATGGAATGAGGAAAAATGAAAAGCAGTAAGAGTAATATCATAATTTCTTCTATTAAAATAATATTCTTAGCTCGGTAAAAAATTGTCCTATGATTCTGACTAAAAGATAAGTTTCTAAGGGGATGTAGATGGGAACCTCTTAGTATATAATACAGGATAGAGGGAACGCCATTTTTCAAAGACATTATCTGGAATTAGAAATGTTGAACTTGAATGCAAGGAAAACAACTACAAAGGGTATTAGTATATATCTGATGATGTGCTAGATACCATGGCAGACATTTTATGCCAATTATCTCTTTTCATTCTCACAACAAGACTATATATATGCCCATAATATGCCCAATTTATTCAACTTCTATTAGAAAAATAATAAGTAGGAGAGTCAGGTTCTGAATGAAGATTGGGCTAGATTACAATGTCTGAATTCTTTCCAAATATACTATTAGTTTCAACACACACACACATACACACACACACACACACACACACACACACTCACACACACACACAAATAGATTGCTACCTGAAAGAACTAGTCCTTTGGTATTCAAGTACAATTATTTCCTGATATGCAAAGAGAAGTAAAGAAAGATCAATAGGCCGGGAGCTGGTGGCTCACGCCTGTAATCCTAGCTACTGAGGAGGCTGAGATCTGAGGATCGCGGTTCAACGCCAGCCCGGGCAGAAGAGAGCCTGAGACTCCTATCTCCAATAAACCACCAGAAAACCGGAAGTGGAGCTGTAGCTCAAGTGGTAGAGCGCTTGCCTTGAGCTGAAGAGCTCAGGGACAGCGCCCAGGCCCAGAGTTCAAGCCCCATGACCGACAAAAAAAAAAAAAAAAAGAAATATCAATAGTCAATGTTGGCTCAAATACATTCAACTATATTCTAGGGTTATTCTCTAAATGAAAAATTTGAGAGTTGAGCCATAGTTACTATCCTAGCCTGTGTAACATTTATTAGCTTTCAATGCTATCACTCTGGAAGCCTTCTGTTTTGTTTTGTTTTGTTCCAGAGCAATTGCCCCTCCTATGGTTTCCTGAAGAGTTGATTGATTGAAATTCCTATGAGACTGAGGGGCACAGGAAAAGATTTAAATTTATTTAAATCAGCAGTCAGATACATGAACAAAGGTAAATCCAGGTTACCTGCAAAGGTGCTTAGAGCAAGTGAGGACTTAATTACCTCACCCCTGGCTCTCTCTGCATGACAGAGGATCACATGATGAGACATTCTAAACTTTAACACAGCTAAGCCCTATGAATGCACCAAATAATCTCATTTCTATTAATGTCATTGTCCACCACTCAACATGGAAAATTTAGAATCTAGTTCTCTGTATTAAAACAGTTGGTGCTTATTAACTTGCCTGCCTTCAATTTAGCTGAATTAATAGTAAATGATGCCAAAACTCACACTCTTCAGAGGAAATATCTTTCCTTTCTCTTAGAAGAGGCATCAACATGTCTGTGCTGGGAAAAACAGTGTGATAAACTGAGGTGATAGTACAGTGCTAATCCTTGCCACTGCTACAAATCAAAAACATCATTCCAATAAATTTCAGAACTTGGCTTCCTCCATGAAATACCCTTAGCAGCAAGAGGCACCAGGAAGAGCAGCTGGGGCAGCTGAGCCTCACACTTCTGCTTCCCTAAGAGGTTTATGCTATGACTTGTATCACTGTGGGAGGGTAACTAGTACTTTGTTGACAGTAATAAGTGGCAACATCTTCAGGTTGCAGGCTGCTGATGGTGAGAGTGAACTCTGTCCCATACCCACTGCTACTGAACCTGGGTGGAACCCCAGGTTGCAAATTTGATACATAACTGATCAGGAGCTTAGGAGCTTCCCCTGGTTTCTGCTGGTACCAGTGTAAATTGTTATAATTATTCTCACTGTCTGTCTCTGGAGTGACTCTGTCTCCTGGAGAAACAGACAGTGAAGGTGGAGACTGGGTCATCTGGATGTCACATCTGGCTCCTGGTAGAGAAACACAAAACAAAATCACCATAGTATTAATCATAATACAAGAAGACTTCCATGAAGTGCTAGGCAGCACTGATCACACTGGACTGAATAGATCTCCAGGCTGGCCCTCCTTACCTTGGAGACAGAGCAGCAGGAACCCCAGGAGCTGAGCAGGGGCTGCCATGGCTATACTGTGTGTTGAATAAGGCTGACTCCTGCACAGGTTGAGACCAGCTATTAGAAATGCTCAGGCAGTGGGCTGTGCTCTTGGCACATGCAAATCAGCAGGGCCTTCGCACAGCTGCAGTGATGGGCACAGGCACAGAACTGGATCATCACAGTAACTCTGCACAGATTCAGTGACCCAACAAGTCCCAGTCAGACCTATCAAAAGAAAATCTGATCATAGCTAAAGCCATAAGCATAAGGCTGAGAATGAAGAACTTATTAGGATGGGGCTTCAACTTAGACACAATAGAAGAGACTCAAGCTCATTCTGTAGTCCTACTTTGAATATACATAGATGCAATTTTGTTTCTTGGTGTATGTGATATTACATTTAGATATATTGAGTTGGTATACTAAAATCAGGGCTGGTTATACAACTCCACAGAATCCTTCCTACTCCAAACCCTTTAGACTCATGAATTCCCAAACCCACCCTTGTGCTCCTGCTGCTGAAACAGAGACCTTCACCATTCTGAAGATATACAATGGCATGAATAGGTCTGGAGAAAGTGAAACAGGAGCCCAGGAGAAACACTGGATCTTACCCTCAAATATGAAGAAGCTTTGTGTCCAGTACTTACCATGGACAGCTCCTCTCCTAGTGACTTTTATCACCCAGGGCAGCATACATGTTTAGTGGCTTCGTGGACACAGGCCAAAACATTCCACAACCAACTGACAGCCTGAGCTCTGACTAGGGGTGATGGCTTTGTCTGGTAATCTCCATATGGTATGGCAGAGCAAATGCCCAGTGGTCCTAGTTCAGAGCAAAGCAGAAGAATTTTCCATGCAGAGAAAATGTTTTTCTTACTAGTTCAGATATTGTGCTCTATAAAGAGATGCTCTATTAATCCTTTAAGATCTGTGGACAGACTTCCTGTGTTTCTTAATTCTAATTCTGTGTTAATTGCCCTTGAAGGAGACAAGATTAAAGAAAACACGAGGCTGTTTCACAGTTAGACTATAGGAAGAGAAGTGAAAATTGGAAAATAGTAGTCATAAACTCTAAGAGGTTATTTAGACTTATCTTGACATTAACACAGTATGACTGAGTTGTCAAGAAGAACATAACTAACTATGGTGAGTGACTTTAATAGGATTAACTTACAGAGCACTGGATGACTACCTATGACCCTAAGCACCCAAAGACACTAAAATCCCTTAACTGTGCCTACCAAGTTCTGAGCTCCTATTTTATTTGTATGTAACCCAATAATATAAACCTGGTCCTAGACTTCCATCTAGTGGTAAAACAGCACACAGGCTCAAATGACCTGATATGAGAAAAAAACACCCTGCAAAAGGAATCCCTTAATGAGACTGTCTCTGCTTTTATCATGAAATCTGCTTTCTCAGCTAGCTCTCACCTACAGGAAGGATGGCTTGCTCTGTTACAGTCTGACATGCAGAGCATCTCTATGACAGCAAGATAGAATTACTTGGGACAAGTTTCAGAGGATGCATCTCTATATGCTAGCAGAAGAAACAATAGTGCAGCACCAACTCACACTTAGAAGTCTGAAGACTGGGAAGGAGTGGGCTATTACAACACAATGATGGCAGAAAGGACTCAGGTTCCTTCTATATATCTACTTTACCATAATCAGGTAGACTATTAAATACCAGGCTTAGTGTTTCATGGTGTCAAGAAAGCTGTGGTGCATCTGCCAAGTTCTCTTATAAAACTTTCAAAAAGAATTTGAAAGAAAGCTCTTAGATTTCCAGTTTATAGAGGAACGCAATCTTTTAAAAGAACTGACCAAATTTCCCAACTGTCTCTCTCTCTCTCTCTCTCTCTCTCTCTCTCTCTCTCACACACACACACACACACACACACACACACACACATACACACACACACACTTGTAACATCTCATTTCTGAGCTGATATTCCCCTAATCTCTAACTTTGTCCTGGGTAGGGAGACCCTGGCCTAATGTTGCCATGTACAGCAGGGAAGACCTGTGAAATACAGAGCAAGACACTCATTCTTACTTTGCTGTTATAAGATAGGAGCTCTTTTGTTTATTTTGGAATTTGTTTGCCATCTGATAGTCTTTCTCTCACATTGAGCTTATACAACGCCAGATATTAGATATCAGTAGTTGACAAACTCCACTTTTACTTGTGATGCTTTTCTTCCATCAGTGTTTATTGTTGATCCTTTTCATCCATTGCTAGAATGGAATCTGTAAGGAATATAAAACAATTCCGCATATAAGATGATGCTAAGTGAAATGAACCTCAAATAGGGACACAAGACATTTTTTCTTTGTTGCTGTTGTTTTTAATGTACCATGTGAATTTTTGTTTCTTTTGTGTGTTCTTCCCCCTGGTATAGCCCCTGTTTTCACTGTATTTGATTCTGTTGCCCTACATCTTATGTACACATTTTTCTAAATGGGGAGGGAAGGGAAATAACAAAATGCTGAAATAAGATTACAGGTTAACCCATTGTAACAATGAGATGTACAAGACACTATGCTGAAAACAAACTTTACAACTTCGGGTATGGGGGCAGAAGGAGTTGAGGAGATAGGGAGGAAAGGAAGAGTAGTAGGGGAAAACAAAGGAGGAGGTAACAACGCTCAATAAGAAATGTACTCATTACATTACCTTACTCATGTAACTGTAACCCCTCTGTAAAGTATCTTTACAATAAAAAATTCCCCTTCCCAGTCATTCAGACATCTATTTCAATATTAAATTCTAATAGGCAACCTTAAATTCAGAAAAGATGTTTGTCATAAGACACTTATGAATGGGCTATTAAGATATATTCAAAATGTTAATAATGTGGTTTTAGACAGTGTTCCTGGAGGAACTCTAGGGTATAACGTCAGGGTGGGATGAAAGATGAGGTCTCCTGATCTAGAGCTCTCCTGTCACACAAACTTGTGAGAGCTGATTCAGATAGGCATAGCTGCTGTGTCACTTGTCACGTGAAAGCACTTAAGGTCACCAGGCATGTGAATCAATGACCACAGATGTTGTTCTGTGAGGTGTAACACTGTGAATGATCACATTCCTCCTTTAGTTCCATATCTGCAACACTGACGTGAAATGATGACAAGATTTGGCTCCTTGATTTCTAATTGAGGCACTCTTGTTCTGTTTTCAAATAGGGTAGAACTAGAGCTCATGTGCTTTCTTATCCTTCCTTTGCTTGAAAGTGTTTTACTAGGTCCCCATTCATATAGGCAAACTGCCATATGTTGAATTAGTATTTTGCTGCTGCCAAGATCCTCTCCACAAAAATGGTTTTCATAGGATTGTTAAACTGCGAAAAAAGAACTTTTATTGTACTCATTATAGGATATATTAGTATGGAAAATTTTGAATTCATGATTATTTTCTTAAATAAGAGCATTTTGTTTAGTCTAGCTTTTTCTCATTACTTCTCTGATACCATAATTAATATGTTTCTGAATCATCAAAATTCTACAGTGATTTTTGTGTTTTGTATATTGAAATATGGTCTCAATCTGAACTCAGATTGTTTTGCATTTTATATGTTGAGATTGAGTCTCATTCTGATGCCAGGTTTGCTTCCTGGTGCTAGGTTTCACAGGTGTCCACCTCCCAGATTATGATAGTATAGTAAATGGATCTATTTAGAGTGCATTGAGTGACTCATGAATTACTTTAACATGGAAAGCATTCACTATCAGCATCCAGTATGGTAAAATGTGCTTTGACCTTCATCACAATTTTGGATTTTTTAAAATTTATTTTCAGCATGTATGGGATCATTTTATTTCCATTTATAAACTGATCTTTTCCTTAAGAATTGAAAAAAAAAACAATAAAACTCAAGCGCAACTGTGTAATTGCAAAATTTTCATATAGATCTGTGATAGACCATAAGTCTAACATGCATGACTCCCAGAATTAGATTATCAGTTCCAGCACACTCCCTCCCCCTCACTTTACACATGCACACACGCAGACATCACAAACCTAGATAGTCACACATTAAAGAAAGGAAGGAAGAAGGAAAGATAGGAAGAGAAGGAAATGGAAGGGATATGATAATGGTTTATATGAAACTGTTTTTAATGAGATTTCTCCAGGATATATATTTAGTTTTACATTGTATTTTTAATGGTGTTGAATAACATTTATTCATTTTAACTGTGGATAAACTGTAAGTAATTAAAACTGAGTATTCATTTCCATGTCCTTTTTCGCTTCTCCTTTAGGATCATGCTCCCCTATGTATGCCGTTGGACTGTGAAGGAATACATAGTAAGTAAAAGCAGAAGGCAATAGTCGAGGAAAAAAGAAGTTTCTTCATACTACCAAGTGATATACTGTAACACTAGAGACCACAATGCTAAATCACAAGTGATCAGTCAAACTGCTCTAGTATTCTTACCACAAATTCAGCCTCAATTGTTACACTTACACTGTACACACAAAATAGAGAAACTGAGGATGACGTTTCCAGTCAGCTCTCCAAGCATCAAGTCTCACTGCTCCATTCCCCTAAAGGTTTAGCCATAATTAAGATGCTGTGCCATCCCAGGCGACAGGTACAAACTGGGTGTCTCATGGCTTCTTACTAATTTGGACAGATGAATTCCTTGACGTATTTCTCTGACACAGAACTAGGGAGTATGCCCTGCTTGTTCCACACTGAAGGGACAAGTTTACAGCTGGGCTACCCAAGCAGGTAGTTTCATATTCAAAACTGTAGCACTGGGACAGTAGTTGAGTCCAATGAGCAGACAGTATTGTGTTCTTTCATGCTCAGAAACAATGCTGCAGATAGTTATTTTTTTTTAACTTGCTACCACAGGAACTGTCTGGGGCCCCAGAGAACATGCTGAAATCCAAATGTGATGACCCACAGAGAATGGTCTGGGAAGGTGGCTCAGTGGTAGAGTGCTTGCCTTGCATGACTGAGGCCCTGGGTTCGATTCCTCAGCACCACATAAGCAAAAAGATAAAAGCTGGAAGTGGCGCTGTGGCTCAAATGGTAGAGTGCTA